CGTACGTTTTCCACATCGAGGATCGCAAGGCGTTGTGGGCGTAGTTGAATCAGGAACTTTACATTCATCACCAGTATGATTGGAATTGACACATTCAGGATTCTCGTAATCATGTGTATAGTGACATGGTACACGACAGTAGTCAGCCTAGGAGTATTTATAGATGTATTACAATATTAATAGGGTCTTTGTGTCACTGGGGTCCAAAATGATGAGTTGTCAATTCCTTGTTTTCAGGGGCGCCACCAAGGGAGAGGGATTAAGACCTTGCTCACACTATAAAAGGTGATTAAATAAAAATTGCTCAAGTCGCTTAGTCAAGCACAATTATATATATGTACTTCTATCCCCACCTTTAGGTATATCGTTAAATTTGTACTACTTTAGTAGTGGCTCTCAGAAATGGCATTTCCTGCATTACTACATAATGGCACACCTACCAGAATCCTGTTACCAGCGGTGTATTGAGCATGTGGTCCCGTCCAACCATAAGCACACAAACATCTCCCGTCTGGCTGGCAAGTTCCTGCATGTGTATACACACCAGTACCACAGAGTGGATCACATGGAACTACAGTAATAATAAGAGTACATTTTTTCACTAATCGGAAGGCTACGAGTTTCGTGCAGAAAAACAGACCTGAAGAGTGAGATCCAGGAGGGAACATTTATCCTAAAGCAACAAAATTGCGGAGCATCTTCAATTTCAACACATGCTTTATTCGAGAATCTTAATGAATAGCAGAACATCCAATGGCATGTTTGTAGTATAATATACTGTACATGTTACCTAAATACAGTTAGTTAATAAGAATACGTCATTTTCTTGTACATAATGGCACGTGCATCGTCAACTATTTGAAAAAGGAAATAAACACATCTTCAAGGCTGTATGAATTCGCCAGATGCAATTCTGTGCAGGTTTGTACGCAATTCTGTACAAGTTTGTACGTTCATTACAGGTACAAATTTGTTTCTAGAAATATAGCAGATGATTGATATAAAATTCTATGCTTGAAAAGTTGAATAACTACACTCACTTTTTGCAGTTGTTTCAACTTCAGTTGGTGCTTTCTTAGTTGTCTTAGTGACTTGTTCTCCATCCCAAGATCCATTCAGACATTTAGGATTCCGTACATAGGGCGTAAAATGACATGCCTTCGCACAGTAGTCTGCCTGTAGTAGATATAAAAATACTCATTTCTCTGATAATGCTGTGTCAATTGAATACATTTCAAGTCATGAGATATTCACCACGTATTCTTGTTATAAAAATTAAAGTCCAGTATAAGATTTTAAACAAAGACATTTTATCAAAATTTAATTTGATTTTTATGATAAGAATCCCTTTTCAGCATGGGAAATTATCTGCCGATATTCATCACGTTGCAAATTATGCACATAATAATAGAAATGTTGGTGCCCACTAGTTTGTGCCTTTCTCAGTTGCTTCTGTGAAGAGTGCTTTCAGTTTGACAATACCAAACATCCAGCGTAGTTGCCACTGCTACTCTAGTCTACTCTCCTCCTGCAGTAACACTGGAAAATTTAGCGAAAACTACTATTTCATTTCTGACAAAAGTATAATTTAGAACTATAAATATTGCTATCCATTATCGAATTATTTACAATGATTCTGTTCCTATATGTTCCATCTTCAACATAGCAAGCATTCGGTCCAGTCCATCCCCACCAACAGAGACAACGACCATCACTCAGGCATATTCCTCGACCGTGATATGGCGCTGTGAATAAAATACAATATATATAACGATTTTATTTTCGCAGTGTGAATCATAAAAACTACCAATGACTTCTGGATAAGGTCTTAGGATGCATAATGTAAGTTAAATTTTATTTCATTAAAACCCATGCTCAACAGTATAGTTCTTACGATTTCCACATTTAGGATCACAAGGCTTCGTTGGCGTGGTTGATGTTGGCACTTTACATTCTCCGGTTTCGTTAGAGTTCACGCAGTCTGGATTTTTATAGTCAGGAGTATAATGACATGGAATACGACAGTAGTCAGCCTAGAAGGAATTTGAAGATTAAAAATTACATCTTTACATTATTTTTGTACAATTATACAGTCTACACTACATGTCATATATACAACACAGTAAAAAGTAAAGTGAACGCATGCAAAGTTGGTAATATACAGTACAAATACACAGTACAAACATGGCATTTATCAAAGATTTATTTCGTTTTTTCTGTGGTAATTTTCCTTCTAATTGCTTGGTGACTTTTACATTTCCTTGCATTGAGCACACAGCAGATTCAGGAGATTGACTATAGATTGCATCATTTGCATGAAACTTCCAATTTGGAGTTCCTCAAATGACAGGGATCAAAAGATCATGTCAAAGTTAGCCGGAATAAAAAACATTCTGAGATTCGACCCATTGTATAATATATATTTCGAAAAATTGGATGAAACGAGATTTAGCGAACAAGATGCATATATCCGCGTTCAACGCAATATTCCTAAAAATTCTCAGAATCACTTTCTCACCACTAGCACAGTGTGACTTCAGCGATTTTCACATATATCTATATATACGTCTGCACAATCCCAATGGCATAAAATGACAAATTTATTACGTACCAAAATTCGGTTATTTGTTGTGTACTGAGCATTGGGTCCAGTCCACCCCCAGAAACACAGACATCTTCCACTTGGTTGACATGTTCCTGCATGAGTGTACACTCCGGTACCGCACAGCGGGTTACATTTTCCTGCGAGACAACTTGAAACAGTAAATATTCTGAATTCCGGCGATATTGGCTCAAAAATTTGGGAAGAAATTGAACTTAAATTGTTAAATCGCCTCTTCGTTTATATAGAATACTTTTCATTACAAATAGGATAAAATATACTAGTTCAATACTGAATGGATAATTGATCAATTGATCAGGTTTGATATTTTTAATCCGACGCAGAACGTGTCATTTGGATGCGCAATCAACTCTATACGAACTGGCTAATTCAGGTGTGATTAATTAAAACTAAATTTTCCATATTAGTTTTTGAGTTTTATCTATATAAAAGGGTTGAATGCAACTAATCCGCAAGAATTCAAAGTACCAAAGAGATTTTCGCCATGTTAATTGGCGGGATGAACCTAGAATTGCAAGCAAATAAAATGTTTTGTCAAATTCATCAACATAGCGGCGATGACGTAATGTGAAAAACATGGCTTTTGGGAACAAAAGGACTGTCCACTAGATTAAATGTTTATACCAGAATAATTTGTCTTCTGTGTGAAGCGAAATAGAGACTGTGTACATTTAAAAATTGAATATTGTTAAATTTATTAAATTCGAATCAACAACTGTGCAAAAATTGCCTTTTCAGTTTTTAAAATAATTTAAAAACTTTTTACATGAATTAAATCATTGGTATATTTGAGCACATGCGCATGCCTGCTTCCAATCAACATTTGAGAAAGAACATATTCAAGATTTTCGGAAATATTAAATTAAACACATCTTCGAGGCAATAAGAATTAAAAAGGCGAAGCAATTCTATGAAGGTTTTTTTGTTAAAGGAAAATGAGTATCCTACAGCCAAGCTTACTTTTGTAACAACGTTCTACTGCAGCATAAATTTGTTTCTAGAGATAAGACAGATTAATATATTAAATTGTATACTTGAAAAGCCGAATAATTACACTCACTATTTGGCGCAGTAGTTATTTGAACTTCAGTTGGTGTTTTCTCGGTTGTCTTAGTGACTTGTTCTCCATCCCAAGATCCATTCAGACATTTAGGATTCCGTACATAGGGCGTAAAATGACATGCCTTCGCACAGTAGTCAGCCTGTAGTAGATACAAAAATACTCATTTCTCTGATAATACAGTGTGATGCATAATGTTAATTTATGCAAGTCGTGTGTTATAATTTCGCCTCAGTTGTTTCTGAGTCCTGACAGTTTTCTCTACTAAACATGCACCGCAGTTTCCATTGGTATGGAGGTTTCCGTACCGTCAGAAGAAAATAGTTGTTTGGGGCAGTCAACAAAGGGGCTCTGAGGGCATGTCCCCATAAAAATTGCATTTTTGAAGCCTCCGCAAGAGCATTTTCCATGTTTCTTGAAGGGAATTTTTATCAAAGTTGAACTGACTTGTCAATTTCTTGCATTTAAAAATTCAAGATTTTGTAATCCACTTTATAAGTTTTTACAATTTTGAAACTTGTTCTGTGTAGGCAATCACATGAAGCATGAATGAATTGGTCTTGTTCCTACTCGAGTGTGTATTATATAATTTCCATACCCTGCAGCGTAAGCGGAAAGATAAAGCGGTCTGCCGCGGCTGGGTCTTGAACCCGCGACCTTCGAATTACTAGATCGACGCTCTACCAACTGAGCTACACGGTCAGACGGATTTAATTTCCAGTCTTAAATCCGTCTGACCGTGTAGCTCAGTTGGTAGAGCGTTGATCTAGTAATTCGAAGGTCGCGGGTTCAAGACCCAGCCGCGGCAAACTTTATCTTTCTGCTTACGCTGGGTATGGAAATTATATAATACACACTCGAGAACATTTTCATCTTAATATATATATATATATATATATATATATATATATATATATATATATATATATATATATATATATATATATATATATATATATATATATATATATGCACAGTATTAATGTAACAAGAAACTGTTACGGATAAGTAAATTGAAATTGCCTGTGCATGCAAGAAGGAAATAAAGTACGAAAAGAAATACAATCCTCATGGTTGAGCGATTCCACATGAAATCATAAGACGGCCCTGGATCTAGGGATAATTATATGGATCTATATGGGATGAGTTTCTGACAAGAATAGTTTAAAACTATAATAGTGCTATCCAGTACAAACGTGAATTATTTACAATGATTCTGTTCCTATATGTTCCATCTTCAACATAACAAGCATTCGGTCCAGTCCATCCCCACCAACAGAGACAACGACCATCACTCAGGCATATTCCTCGACCGAAATATGGCGCTGTGAATAAAATTATACGATGCATAATGATTCTATTTTCGCCGGGTGAATCACAAAACTATGAATGACTTCTGGATAAGGTCTTAGGATGCATAAAAAAGTTAAATGATATTTTGTAAAACCCATGCTCAACAGTATACAGGGTGTATCAGAAAAAAAGGAGTCGTCCTAAATATCCTTATTTCTATCGTAAAATAAACTACCATAGTTTCGTTTTGGGCTCAATTTAAAGCTTGTTTTTTCATCTTTCGAATGAGGGGTTTCTTGAAAATTTTGAACGAAGGCTAATCGCAATAAAAAGAATTTAGTACAAGCGCTCGTTTTTAGATGCTTCGAAATATTAATCTTCGAAATTAAAGGTAGTTTGCTAAAATTTGGAACGTTGTTGTTTAAAACTTTACAATCACCATTCATAATGCCAAAGCTAACAATTCCGGAAAGAACATTAATTGTTGAAAAGTATTTCGAAACAAAAAGCGTTGTTGCAGTGTTAAGTACTATTTAAAAAACGAGCAGGAGTGTTTTATTAGGTTTAAAGCCACGAGCGCGCAGCGCGAGTGGCTTTAGACCTAATAAAACACGACCCGCGAGTTTTTTAAATGACTTCAAAAACGTATGCATAATAAGTCAAATCTTTATATAAAAATCTTTATATAAAAATCTTTATATAAAAATCTTTATATAGTTTGCATAACAACGGTCTTTTGTTAAAGTGTTCTTTAGCTGGTATAAAAACGTATGCACATGACTAATTTCTTACTCAAGATTGGATAATTGCTTCATGAATTATTAATGAGTTTTTGAAGACAATTTAAAATAGCTTTTCTAGGACGTAATCTTCATCGAGCGTTTGGGGTAATGTCAACAAATACCGGCTGCACATGCATTGAATGGAAGAACCACCCCATAAAATTTAAATCGAAATAAAGGAAATTCGGGAAGAAGACTTGTCTTGGATATGAGACAAAGAACGAACTTGTGTGAAATTATATAGAAATGGAGGCCACGTTGAGTAAATGTGTACTTCCAACTTATTTTTTGGAACGTTTAAATAAATTATGAATTCAACACATCTATACGTTTTTTAAATTTCCAATTGCACTTACTTAAATTGACACAACTCGCCAGCAATAACTCCAAATTTTATAAAATAAAGTACATAAAATAGCCGAAAGATCGCCATTTCGAACGAATGCAAGTATAAATGTCTAACTTTCATATTTGCTTTGAAATTTACACTTTATATGAGGACTCAGTTTTTATTGATACACCCTGTGGTTCTTACGATTTCCACATTTAGGATCACAAGGCTTCGTTGGCGTGGTCGATGTTGGCACTTTACATTCTCCGGTTTGATTGGAGTTCACACAGTCTGGATTTTTATAGTCAGGAGTATAATGGCATGGAATACGACAGTAGTCAGCCTAGAAGGAATATGAAGATTAAAAATTACATCTTTATATGTAACTTTTACATTTCCTTGCAATGAGCACACTAGTTCAGGAGATTGACTAGATCGCATGAAACTTCCAAGTTGAAGTTCCTCAAATGACAGGGATCGAAAGATCAGGTCAATGTTGGCCAAAATAAAAAAACATTCTGAGATTTGACTCATTCTATAATATATATTTCGAACATTCGGATGAAACGAGATTTGGTGAACAAGATGCATATATCTGCGTTCAACGCAATATCGTCCTAAAAATTCTCAGAATCACTTTCTCTTTTTCATCCACTAGCACAGTGTGACTTCAGCGATTTTCACATACATCTATATATACGTCTGCACAATCCCAATGGCATAAAATGGCAAATTTATTACGTACCAAAATTCGGTTATTTGTTGTGTACTGAGCATTGGGTCCAGTCCACCCCCAGAAACACAGACATCTTCCACTTGGTTGACATGTTCCTGCATGAGTGTACACTCCGGTACCGCACAGCGGGTTACATTTTCCTGCGAGACAACTTGAAACAGTAAATATTCTGAATTCCGGCGATATTGGCTCAAAAATTTGGGAAGAAATTGAACTTAAATTGTTAAATCGCCTCTTCGTTTATATAGAATACTTTTCATTACAAATAGGATAAAATATACTAGTTCAATACTGAATGGATAATTGATCAATTGATCAGGTCTGATATTTTTAATCCGACGCAGAACGTGTCATTTGGATGCGCAATCAACTCTATACGAACTGGCTGATTCAGGTGTGATTAATTAAAACTAAATTTTCCATATTAGTTTTTGAGTTTTATCTATATAAAAGGGTTGAATGCAACTAATCCGCAAGAATTCAAAGTACCAAAGAGATTTTCGCCATGTTAATTGGCGGGATGAACCTAGAATTGCAAGCAAATAAAATGTTTTGTCAAATTCATCAACATAACGTGAGAAACATAGCTTTTGGGAACAAAAGGACTGTCCACTTGATTAAATTTTTTTACCAGAATAATTTGTCTTCTGTGTCAAGCGAAATAGAGACTGCGTACATTTAAAAATCGAATATTGTTAAATTTATTAAATTCGAATCAACAACTGTGCAAACATTGCCTTTTCAGTTTTTAAAATAAATTAACAACTTTTTACATGAATTAAATCATTGGTATATTTGAGCACATGCGCATGCATGCTTCCAATCAACGTTTGAGAAAGAACATATTCAAGATTTTAGGAACTATTAAATAAAACACATCTTCAAGGCAGTGAGAATTAAATAGGTGAGGCAATTCTATAACGATTTTTTTTGTTAAAGGAAAATGAGTACCCTATAGCCAAGCTTACTTTTGTAACAACGTTCTACTGCAGGCATAAATTTGCTTTTAGAAATAAGAGAGGATGAATATATTAAATTGTATACTTGAAAAGCTGAATAACTACACTTACTATTTGGCGCAGTTATTTGAACTTCAGTTGGTGTTTTCTCAGTTGTCTTAGTGACTTGTCCTCCATCCCAAGATCCATTCAGACATTTAGGATTCCGTACATAGGGCGTAAAATGACATGCCTTCGCACAGTAGTCAGCCTGTAGTAGATACAAAAAATACTCATTTGTCTCTGATAATACAGTGTGATGCATAATGTTAATTTATGCAAGTCGTGTGTTATGGTTTCGCCTCAGTTGTTTCGGAGTCCTGACAGTTTTCTCTACCAAACATGCACCGCAGTTTCCATTGGTATGGAGGTTTCCGTACCGTCAGAAGAAAATTGTTGGGGGAGACAGTCAACGAAGGGGCTCTGAAGGCATGTCCCCATAAAAAATTGCGTTTTCGAAGCTTTGGAAGAGCATTTTCCGTGTTTCTTGAGGGAAAGTTTTATCAAAGTTGAAAATTGTCGATTTCTTGCATTTAAAAATTCAAGATTTTCTAATGCACTTTATAAGTTTTTACAACTTTATCCCTCCAATTTTGAAAAGTGTTCTGTGTAGGCAATCACATGAAGCATGAATGAATTGGTTTTGTTCCTATTGATATATGCATAGTATCAATGTAACAACAAGCTGTTACGGATATTAAGTAGATTGAAATTGCCTGTGCATGCATGCATGCATGCATGCATGCATGCATGCATGCATGCAAGAAGGAAATAAAGTACGAAAAGAAATACAATCCTCATGGTTGAGCAATTCCACACGAAATCATAAGACGGCCCTGGATCTAGGGATAATTATATGGACCTATATGGGATGAGTTTCTGACAAGAATAGTTTAAAACTATAATAGTGCTATCCAGTACAAACGTAAATTATTTACAATAATTCTGTTCCTATATGTTCCATCTTCAACATAGCAAGCATTCGGTCCAGTCCATCCCCACCAACAAAGACAACGACCATCACTCAGGCATATTCCTCGACCGAAATATGGCGCTGTAAATAAAATTATACGATATATAATGATTCTATTTTCGCCGTGTGAATCATAAAACTATGAATAACTTCTGGATAAGGTTTTAGAATGCATAAAAAAGTTAAATTATATTTTGTAAAACCCATGCTCAACAGTATAGTTCTTACGATTTCCACATTTAGGATCACAAGGCATCGTTGGCGTGGTTGATGTTGGCACTTTACATTCTCCAGTTTGATTGGAGTTCACACAGTCTGGATTTTTATAGTCAGGAGTATAATGACATGGAATACGACAGTAGTCAGCCTAGAAGGAATATGAAGATTAAACTGAATTACATATTTATATTATCTTTGTACAATTATGCAGTTCCTCAAAGGTTAGGGATCGCAAGATCGGATCAAATTTGGAATAAATAAGATGGCGGCATGAGTCTGCGTTAAAAGCAATATTTTGTTAACCATTATCAGAATCATTGTAGTCTTCAGTTCATCAAATAGCACAGTCAGTAGCGCACAGTTTGACTTCAGAGATTTTTACATACATCTATACGTCTGCGCAATCTTTGCCAACATAAATTTTATTACGTACCAAAATTCGGTTATTTGTTGTGTACTGAGCATTGGGTCCAGTCCACCCCCAGAAACACAGACATCTTCCACTTGGTTGACATGTTCCTGCATGAGTGTACACTCCGGTACCGCACAGCGGGTTACATTTTCCTGCGAGACAACTTGAAACAGTAAATATTCTGAATTTTGACGATATCCACGTATAGTTAAATCATGTAGCTGAGACTGGAAGTTTTAAAATACAGCTAATTAAAAACTAAGCTTTAAACTCTGCATGTTTGCCGTATTTAGTCAGAAAGACTTAATGGTCATAGTTAATTCTTGTGCATAAACGGCCAAACTTTACGATAGAGAGCGTTCCCATTGCACTTTTCGGGCCTAAAGGAAGGACTGACAACCTTTTTTGAATTAGCTGTATATACATGGCAAAGTATTAAATTGTTAAATCAGCACTTCTTTTAATATTTTGCTTTACATACTCATAGGGGACAAAATATATTAGTTCAAAGCAACGTTCAACGTGGCACTGAATGGAAAATTGATCATGATCAGTTGATGAATGGATAATCGATCATGATCAGTCGACGCAGAAGTTGCAGAACGTGTTATTTGAATGAGCATGGTCAACACTATATAGCCTGTACCGAACGCCATTATTCAAGTGTGATTAAACTAAATTATGCATGTATTAGTTTATTTTAATTTTGTTTGTTATCGATATGAAAGGGTTTCATGCAAAGTACAAAAGAGATTTTCGCCGTGTAGGGTGAACTTAGAATTGCAAGAAAACGTGAGAAACACCTTTCGGCAACTATATTGTCTTCCACTGTGTCGAGTAAAAAGGAAGAAAGTGTACTTTTAGGAATCAAATAAAGTCGAATCAACTGTCAAAAAATTGCCTGCTTTTTTGAACAACTTTCTGGGACCGTGCATGGAGCTGGGGGAGGGCTATGGGGGACATGGTCCCCTCGCTTTTTTCGCCGAGAAAAGAAAGAAAAGGTAATTGATGTACTATTTAAAAAACGAGCAGGAGTGTTTTATTAGGTTTAAAGCCACGAGCGCGCAGCGCGAGTGGCTTTAGACCTAATAAAACACGACCCGCGAGTTTTTTAAATGACTTCAAAAACGTATGCATAGTAAGTCAAATCTTTATATAAAAATCTTTATATAAAAATCATTATATAAAAATCTTTATATAAAAATCTTTATATAGTTTGCATAACAATGGTCTTTTGTTAAAGTGTTCTTTAGCTCGGGTATAAAGACGTATGCACGCGTGACTAATTTCTTACTCAAGATTGGATAATTGCTTCATGAATTATTAATGAGTTTTTGAAATACGGTTGAAATAGGCTTTGTTCACTGGCGTTGTCCCCCACCCCCACCACTTCCAAAGACACTTGGCGGCCAGTCACTGTTCAATGCGCTAGCTGTTATTTGTCAATCTCGTTCCGCAATTTCAGAAAAGACCCTTGGAACGAGGTTGGTTATTTGTAATTCCCTATTTATGTATGTATACATGAAAATGTATCCGTATATAAAATGAAATGATTTGTTCATTAATTCAGAAAATTCTTCCTTTAAATCAAATTGATGAGATTTCGTTCGTCATGTTTCACGCACAATATGATGGGGATAGGGTTGTGATTGGGGTCAAGATCAAAGAGAAATATATTCGTGCGCGAAAAATGAAGATGTTACTGAGGGTTCCCCGAAATACTCAAAAGAGAATGTTGTTGCCACATGCAGCAGCTGCATCCGCAATTAATGAGAAAAGATTGAAAGTGATTATTCCAAAAGTGATGATTCCAAAATCTTGTCTGACAAAATGTGATCCTCAGACAAAGAAACGTCATGAAGTGCAGTTTAAAACCATATGCATCACAAACCCTATATTGCGGTTACTCGGTTAGTGTAATGAAATCCTTGATAACTTTTAAAATGTAATGAAAATTTAGAAGAAAATCAAGTTCATTCAGGCCCATATGATCTTGAGAGCGTACTGCTGCTGGAAATTTAAGGAAAAGACGTACACTACATACCTTGAACACGATTGTTGAAGAATGCCAAGAGAAGAACAGAACATACCAAAAAATTCTTCATCTTAGTGAATTGAATTTAACATGCACCGGACGCCGGCTACATAAAATAAATCAGATCCTGTTGTCGCGACTTTAAGTTTAAAATTTTATCCCACATGAAAGCGGAATAAAGGCGATTGCTAAATGTAGTTTAAACAACTGTTGTCAATATTCATCAAACATGACAAAGTAAGAAAAGGCTGCGAAATCAAATTGGTCTCGTTTAGCTACATTTATAGTTTAAGTCAATAAATGACATGTAAATACAGGCAGAAGAATCAATAGTTCTGTTGTTTTTGAGGAAAAAAGTTTCATTTTGATTGATTAATGTTTACCATTTTGGCATTTTAATTTTGCTATTTAATTCTTATACTGAATTAATGATTTAATTAAGATTCATTTTATAGAATTTATATCTACAGTTAACTGAATTTACCTAGCCTGGCAGAACCTACTAGTCTGGTAGTACTGGGTACATAAAAATCTCCAAGGTCATTAGGTCAATAGTCCTGCATTAGTATTTCTGAGGGCCCATAGTTTTACTCTTGCACAATAAAATAATTCTAACACTGAAAACCGACTACCCCTCAAATTCAGTTTTACTTTCATCAGTCTCGGTTGTTGAGGGCTAAGTCGCTGAAGCAGTACATGTTGGGGTTATAGACTTATAGCTTGATAAACAGGATCGAAACTATATACTGACGAAGACCTGCATAACACATTATATATACTTACCCTATGACTAAAAACCTCGTATGTAAAATTTTCAGATACGTTTTTATTCAGCAGTCTTGCTTCACATGAATCAGCCAGCAGTTGCTATAAATGAGTAATGAGCCGAGTCTGGGCTAAAGTTCCTTGTTGAGTATTATATCCTGCTATTGTTATAAATTACAGTGAAATGTATTTCCTGGTATAGCTACCAGTATATAGTCATGTGAGTTTCCAGTATTGATATACACACATTATGGGATGTCGACATGCCCCGACAGATCTACTAAATGTTTTTCGGTTTTGTACATCATGCACTT